ACCACCACCCCCCCACCACCCCGTCACCACATCCGCCATTTACCTTCCCGCCGTCACCACGGCCGCCATTCCCGGCCTCCGTCCTCTCACTGCGGCAATCCCCGGCCCCCCATCTCCGTGCGCAATCACCCCCACTACTCTCTCTCCTCTGCATTCCCATCCGTTCTCACCTGCACCTCCGTCGCCAACCGTTCCTTCTTCAGTGGCAACAATACGGATCTCCACCTCTCCATCCGCCCCAATGTGTCCAGGTGATCCGTCACCTGGGAATAGCAGGGCATACGTCCACGACACCATGAAGGGTTCATCGTCATCCCCGCAGTCGCATGTGATCACATGATGGCAGCTCCGGTGATGGCGACTCAGGCCACGTCATTGGCAACATGACGCGGTTGCCCGTGACGTCGCCTGAGTCGCCGTCACCGGAGCTGCCATCACCAGCACCCCGCCACCACCCCGTTCACCCCATCCCCTTCACCTTCCCTGCCGTCACCACGGCCGCCATTTCCACCTCCGTCCTCTTCACTGCGGCAATCCCCGGCCCCCCATCTCCGTGGCCGCAATCACCCCCACTACCCTCTCTCTCCTCTGCATTCCCATCCGTTCTCACCTGCACAGCTGTGCCGCCGTTGCCCCTGACGTCGCCTGAGTCGCCGTCACCTGAGCCATCATCACCACCACCCCCTTCAACCCATCCCCTTCACCTCCCCTGCCGTCACCAGTGCTGCCATTTCCGTCCTCTTACCTTATGGACTACGGTCTCACCTGTTAGATTGTCGGGGCTCCACTGCATTTCTGCCTGGCCCTTCGGCGGACTCCACTCCATGTCCACCTCCACCGGAGACGGGGTGCCTGCGCTGACAGGGGGGACCTCGTTTCAAATCGCTCATGTCCTACATGTGACGTGTGTGCTAGTTTCGTTTGTTGTACCTGTTTGGTCCGGTTTGTTAGCTTGCGGCTGTGCTCCCGCACCAACCACCGAAGGGCCCGCCGGAACGGGAGCTTGTTGCTGAGGACATTCATCTGCATCATATTGGACGTCGCAAGTTTTAACCATACATAGTAGCTGTCAATGTATTGCAGCAACTTCTCACTGCGTCCAGCGATCATCTCGTTAGGAGCCACGGCATCGAGGCCAAAAAGCTCTGTGCCATTATTACCACCATGAGGCTGGACGCACTGATGCGTGATGACGTGATTATATGCATGAGACGTGCTATGATACTTGCGTCCGCAGGACACACACGTAATTTCAAATTTCGACAACGCATATAGTTGACCGCGGCAGAGGTAACGTGGATATGTTTTAACTGAAGGGGCCATCTTTATTAGCTATTATTACATCTTCAACAGAAAGCAGGACTTGCGAACAGATGCTGTGTGCATTTGTATGTTCTGAAGGGCCCTACAGCCCTTCATTCTGGGACAAGCGCAGACTTAACGAAACCTTACGTTTGGAGTATTTGTACAGTCATAAGTAATTAAAACAATCCCTGGCATGGCGATATTACAAGGCTTTTGCATGCTAAGTGGCCATTTCAGCCGAACTCCGTCGATATGCTCTGAAGGCCCCTCAGCCCTTCGTTATGAAATGAGCACGAATGAGCACGAAACGACAACTAGATGAAGGGATTCCCGGGTATCGAAGGGAAGCTGGTTCCCAGAGTGCAACAGGAATCAGGTCATCTGGGGGCAACCCCACCAGGTCATTCAAGACAAACTTAGGGTTCAGCTCGGCAGCTGTGTGCCCACCCTTGCTGTTACCAGTCACAACCCTGCGTGACTTCCCACCCTTCCCACTGGCACTGGGTGCCTGTGCCCCCTTGCCCTTTGGGGGCACACAGACAATGCAAACCCGCTGCAGCACTGTCTCCAGCGGTATGCAGCCGAATGATGCGGCTGGCTGACCACTCCGCCTGTCAAGGGTCACGAGTGGGTGCAAATGTGGGATTAGTGTTTGTGGGGCTGTCAGTGTCCCCAGGGCAGGGTTAGACCTGATCTGCCCATGCGATGGCCCTTCAAGTCAAGAACCTCCTGCTTCTGCAAGACGTAGACAGCAACAGAATGACAAATACTACAACATGTGCTTATACTTTGGCCCAAATAGACTCTGAGGTCACTCACCAGGCAGTTGCTCTCGTATTCGTCATCGTGTGCAGCCCCCCTGGCCGTGACAATGTTGAGCTTGCTGGTAACCTGCAGGAGAGTACAGAAGCAAGTGACAAGCAGTGAAGCGTAGCAACTGGGGGGGGTGTAGCCTGCTGACTAACCTGCTGCTGTATGGTCTCCATTTTCTTGTTGGTGAATTGGTAGCTGGCCCGCAGGGTTTTGACATAGCTTTCTTTTGGGCCGGTTGTGGTCAGGTCGGTCATGCCATACTGTCTAATGTCCCTTGCTTGCGTCCTTGAAGGGTGCCAGGGCCACATCAAGTGCGGCCTGGAGGACCTTGCGCTTCAGGGACCGGAAGGACAGGCTATCCTTGCTCTCACCTGCATGTGAGTGATACACAGAGGTGGTAGTCCCACAAAGAATTGTAGATACCCTTCAAAGTATCTGCAGATGGGGTGTAGGCCTCGCCTGGAAACTGCTTGAACAGGCGCAAAAACTCCTGGAGCTTGCAACATGCAGGCATCACATTTCAACTTGCAGTAAGCATTGTGGCTTGCTATCAACTAGGCACCAAAACCAGCATGCTTAGAAACAGTGAGTAATGCTGGTAAACACTGGTAACACTGGCCAATGCTGGTAAAAACGCACCCGAGAGGTTCGCCGCGAGGAAGGTCTCCACCTCTGAAGACAAACTTTTCTCAGGTGGCTTTTCACTATTTGCCTCTGCATACTTGTCTAGGTGGTCAAGGTATGAGACGCCCATCTCGAACGTGCCAATTGATGGCTCGTCAAGAGGAACACTCTGCCTGCATTCCACATTCACCACTGGCTCATTGTCTGTGAATAATTTATCATTGTTGGCGACGTCTCCACCGGCAACGCAGCAGCCAGGCAGCGTTGACTCGATAACACCCTTGCAGCCATAGGGGGTGCGAAGGAGATGCAGGCGCAGCTCCTTGAACTCTCGTCCACAGTGAGGGCACCTCTGGGTGGACATATTGATGACCAGTCGCGGCAGGTGAGAATGCTCAGTGAAAGTCTGGCAGTTGACCAGGGCCTCTCCCTATGTGATAACCAGTGAAGTAATTGCGACACCTGTGTCACTATCTAATTATAGGAAATTACACTAAATAGATTTGCTGTAACGTCCTCCAGGAATGCGCAGAATGTCTCGCCGAGGCCTGGGCACTGCTTCACTAGCTGTGGCTGCACTACATAAACAAGTTCCGCTGCCAGCTCAGCATCAAAAGCAATACCATTTTTCGTGATAAACACTGCCTGCTCTTCAAAAGCCGACCAATTTTCATCGAGAAGGTTCAAAATAAAAGTGGAGTCCATAATTTTAAATTAAGCAGATAAACCGAGGCCTGATGGGCAATGCTGACAACCTTCCCTGATAGACGAATCTTCTTCAGTTTCAATCTGCCGTACTCGCGTCCCTCGTAAGGGACGCGACTACGACACAGCTGCTCAAGACCACCGACAAAAATGATAAAAGCTCTGCGGTTGCTCATAAGCTATCATAGAATTTCGTAAGAAGGTCAAGCCCGTGAGTCAACGCGGCATAGCAGAATGTATGACCGGTCCTTACATAGCCAAACACGCAAAAGGCAACGACTTGAACGCCGAACAAACACCAAAACAGCAAGATAAGCCTGAAAGTTTTCCTGATAAAGGCGTTTGGGATGGCGGTGCTGTTGTCGGTAATGCATCGGCAATGGTGTTGCTGCCAGCGGCGACCGATGACACGGGCGCCATTACCCCTGCCTTCCATGGCGGTTGTGATCAGCATAAGCGCAAGCTGTCACCCAATCAGCTCGACAACAATGAATGCGGCGAGGCGCCCAACCCGAGCGCTCGCAGTGCCAAGCGGGCTCAGACACAGCACATTGATTTGCTATGCGGTTGCTTGTTTTGGGCCTTTGCTTGGTCGGATTTACTTTTTGTTCACAAACAGTGCCAGAACTATCTATGCATGTGCATGAAGAGTGCGCACATGAACGAAAACGCGCCAACTCAGTGCGTGCCTCTTGGTCTATGAGGGGAGTTGTAACTTATCGGGGGGGGGGGAGTCTGGGGGGTGTGTAGGCCCCCCCAGCGCCCCACTCTTAAGGAATACATTACGGCGACGCTAGCAACTTTGTTACTTAGGTTGGAATAAATTGAGACCCCCCCTAAATGAAAAAAAATCACTGGTTGGAATGGCTGTTCATCACAGCCTGTGCTGGTGAGAGTTTTCAAAACCAGCCGGCCTGTGCTGGGAAGTTGCCAGACATTGCAGTTATAAAGGACCATGACGAGCCTTTGTTGTGGGCTTGTCGATGAGGGGTGGGCTTCACTGAAGTCTGCCCAATTATCTCAAACTGCTACAGTTTTGTGGTAAGGAAGTGGGAGAGGCTGGGCACTGCCTGGTCCCCACAGCATGTGCTGGGGTTTTGTAAGTATGGCGATAATCGTTACATGCCAGGCAGTGTTAGCCTGCCAGAACCTTGCCAACATTGATGCAGAACAGACATCAGCTCAGCGGCATGGTTTAACCCAAGCAGACACTCTCCAGCATATTGAACTCCTCTCACCGTCTACCCATCGTCTATTCTTCGTCTACAATAGATGAATCGACTATAGACGACATGTATAGACGACTCGACTTTAGACGAACTATTGTAGATGACTCGTCTAATAGACGGGTCTTCAGGATATAGACGACCGAAAAAAATACAGACTGACAATAGCTTGACATTTCTACTGCATTTTGGAACAGTGAGCTGAAGGGGCAGTTGTGGATGGCCATGGAGCAACCGCCAGCAGGCAGTTGCTCAGTGTTACCCAGCACTGGGTATGAATCTGGTTACTGGTCGCTAGCCTGCAAGCTGCGGAAGTCAATCTATGGACTTAAGCAGGCACAACGCTGCTGGTATCATTGCCTTGGTGCATGTTGATGATACCATCATGGCATCAGAGGATCCAGAAATGGTCCGTGCTCTTAACGCAGCCATTGTGAAGGTTTTTAAGGTGCGAGACCTTAGAGAAGTGCAGGTGTTTTTAGGCATGGAGATTAGGAATGAGAAGGCAGGTGAGCTGGTGTTCTCGCAACATAGGTATATTGAGCAGCTGCTAGAGCATATCATCAGATGGTGGATGCCAAGCTCCAGTCTACCCCTTTACCTTCAGGCTTTAGGCTATGGGGATCAGAACGAGCTGCTGAGCAATCCCACGAAGTTTAGGGCTTTCGTGGGAGAGTTGAACTACCTAGAGATGAATCCACAGCCTGACATTGCTTATGCATTGAGTATTTTGTTCCGGCATATGGCCACACCCTCAAAGAGTGCCATGAACCTGGCAACCGGCATTCGTTGTTACCTGGTGGGTACACACGAACTAGGATTGCGTTTTGGGCGTGTTGATGATGCTCAAATGTCTAGGTATAGCGACTCTGACTGGGTGGGAGACCTGATCATGTGGTGTTCAACATCCGGTTATGTTTTCACTCTCAATAGGGCTCACAGCCTGTTAAGACAAAGCAACGCACTGAACTCCCCAGGTCCGATTACTGCTGTCACCATTCTCTGGTGTACTACACATAGTATGAGTGTCAATCACTTGCCAACAACCCCCATGAGTGACACTCACTCACTCCGGGCATTCCCTAACTCTTAAGAAACATCCAGATAGATTTTATACCTAGCCACTTAGCTGCCTAGCTGCCCAGCCTCCTAGCCTCCTCGCCGCCTAGCCTCCAAGCCATGTAGCTGCCAAGCCGCCTAGCTGTGAAGCCGCCTAGCCACCGAGCCACTGAGCCACCAAGCCTCCTAGCCACCGAGCCACCTCACCTCCAAGCCACCAAGCTGCCAAGTCACCACGCCTCCTAGCCTCCTAGCCACCGAGTCACCTAGCAAATACACGCGCACACATGACCAATGAGGAACAGTTGCTTGAATAATGCACCACAAGGCAAAATATACCTGTTTGCACAGGTTAGCAGAAAAAAACAAATTCACGAACCACACGTGAATTGTGGCAGCTGCCACTTTAGCTGACATGTCGACAACTCCAATATCCTAGACTAAGCCAATGGGCGTGACCTAATTGTGCACCTGCATTTCAGAAACGACTAGGGGGGCGGCTTTTCAAAGCCGAAAAGGGGCTCGGCCCCGGTGCAGCCACTTGCCCTCTGCTGGGCACGGCCCTTTGCTGGGTGGCCGGCCGCGGCCGCGGCGGATCGGCTGGTCAGCGGCCGCCGCCGCCGGCGGGGACACGGGCGGCAAGGCGGCCGGCAACGGCGCAACGGCCCGACCTGGGCGGCCCGGCCCTCCTCCGTCAAACTCGGAGCCATGGAAAGCTATCTTTGTCGCGCTCTGATTTATCTGGAATGTCTCCTTTAGCAGGTGGATGTAGAATAGATATAGCTTCTACATTCAATCTTTTGCGGAGCGAGATATGTAACTTAATGTCAAACTCGGAGCCATGGAAAGTTATCTTCGCGCTCCGATTTATCTGGAATGTCTCCTTTGGCATTTCGATATAGAATGGATATAGCATTCAAACGCTATTTTTTGCGGGGCGAGATATGTAAGCCACTGACTGACTGACTGACTGACTGACTGACTGACTGACTGACAGCAGTGAACCCCGGGGGCTCGGCCCCCCGAATGGCGCTTCGCGCCCGGGGCCTCACCCAAAAAGATTGCGTGCTTGTTAGGATGGTTGTTGGTGTGCTCATAGACCGGTGTGCGCAACTGGCAATCTGATTGACCAGACAGCAGAGCATGACTTAACATCAGATTCGCAGCTGATTGGGTCCAGAGAGCTACTCACATTTTCGTGTAGGTCCCCACAAGTGTGTCACGCCAGCTGTAACTCCGAAAAGCTTGCCTGATGGTAAAGCATGTCCTCTTCACTTTCCTCCGGACAGTCCAGTGATAGGCACACGTGCTTGAAGTATCAAACTTGCAGCATGAAGGCTGAGACATGCCTATCAAATGCTTACCTGCGGCAAGTATTAAAAAAAACCACTCAATGGAAGTAAGCGTGACAAAGTATTTCGAGCTTACAAAATCAATGTGAACTTAGGGAAATAGTCTTGCACCGCGTCCGACATGCTGGAATGTACACTGGAATGTGTACGAGGCATGGGAGGCAAGGAATGTGTACGAAGCATGGGAGGCAAGGAATGTGTACGAGGCACCGCAACATTCACACATAGGTCAGGCCCTACTGGTAGAGCACGCAGCAATGTGCTCGGGAGATCCCAGGACCGAGACCTGTCAAGCTTGATTATCCTTTTGATTTTGGAAGGTGAAGTGCCCCTAGTCGATGGACGGTGATGACCTGGGATAAACTTAACTTGCGAGCTGACCAGGAATGGAGTTGAGCCGCTGGCGATCCAGCAGATTCCGTTGGATGCTGGTGGTGGGTGCGGAACCTGAGCGATCCACTGAGAAGTTGACCAGGGTGACTGGATGAGGGTGCCCCGAAATACCGGGGAAGGCAGGGTTTCGCAGGTAGCTGCCACGGGCGAAGATATACCCCCTGTTTCACACACACACATGTGCACACGTGCACATGCACACACGCACACGTGCACATGCACACACGCACACGTGCAGACGCCCCACACGTGTGCACATGCACACACCACACCCACACCCACACATATGTAGCTCAAATTGGTAGAGCATCGTGTAGATAATTGGCAACGAACGGCAAGTCTAGAATTCAAATCCAAACCGTAGCTGAACAACTTCTCCTAGTTGCTTTCTCCTTGGCTATAGAAATGCAAACTTCCATATCAACAGCTAGATCATGGACCGCTCGGAATTGAAAGTAACTGCCCACCGTCACTGGTAGGCATATTTGCTGCTGTTTCAGGATCCAGATTCAAACCGAATTCTGGACTTGGATCCGGTTTTAGATGCTGCCCTAAGGGAAACACTGTTGCATGTCATAATGGTTGGTGGTTGCTTTTCTGTGCGTGCAGATAACTCTTTGCTTCCCTGCTGCTATTGCTACTGCTATTGCTACTGCTATTGCTACTGCTATTGCTATTGCTACTGCTATTGCTACTGCTACTGCTACTGCTATTGCTACTGCTATTGCTACTGCTACTGCTGCTTCCAGGAATGAGGTATGGGGAAAACACACAACATAAAATCGGGCAGAGCCAAGCTGCTACAACTAACCGCTAACCGCTAATCACCAACCAACACTAATTACCTGCAGCAGCACTGCTTTCTGCTCCGAAAACACGTTTGGACAGGTCCGAGGGGTCAGGAGACTCTGGCAAGCTCGCGCAGTAGCACCGCCAATCCCCTGC